AATTTCAGTATTAGTGCCTAGTATGAGCATATCAATTCTTACATACCAGCTATTAATTACAATCATACCATCACAAACTGTGGCATACACCCATATTAGCAGTGGCATACACACAAATATCAGAATCGCAAATCTAAAATCCAAGTGATAAAACAATTGTCCTGATTTTTTCATGCCATTATTAGGGTGCTAGTTTAAATCCATATAGGGACAGGGACTTCACGAATTTATAAACCTTGTATTCCTGTTGTCTAAAACCTTTTACAACCAAACCTACTTTATACTATCCTTTTAAAAATCCATTTACATCCTAAAGGCTTTAAGAGAAATCCACTAGTCTTCAAGAGAAAACGACTTCAGACCACCATTTCTTACAAATTTGCTCCACCAAAATTATCCAATCATAGAAACTCCTAGTTTCCATGATTGTTGGTTTCCATACCGTATTACAATCTTTTATCACTTTGAAATTGTTGGTTTCCTTGACACCCTCAGTAACAAAATTTTGGCAGTATCTCCCCTTAACCAGAATCAACTCTCTGTATGAATCTTAGAGACACTCTTACTTCTTGTTAACCCCCTGAGGGATTAAGTACGGATTTGGAGTTTATAAAAATACTTTTACTTCCAGTAAACCTCATTAGGGATTAGTTCTGGGTTCAAAGTTTATAGGGGGGAAGAGAGAGTCAAGAATTAAATATTAGCAAATTAACCCTCTGAGGGATTAGGTACAGATTTGGAGTTTATGGGAATACTTTTACTTCCAGTTAACCTTGTGAGTGATTAGGTTTGGATTCAAAATTTATAGGGGGGAAGAGAGTCGATAATTAAATATTAGAAAATTAATAGGCACTTGGAAACACGAGGTCGTCTCACTTCTTTTAAGTGTGAAAAAATCATCCCGCCTCGGTAAAATCTCGAGATGTAATCGATCCTGGCAAGAACACTCCCAAGATAAAGCCAGGATTAGTATTTCACTTCTTGAATTATTGAGCAACACTCTTAATAACTTGTCTAAAACCACAACATCAGATATTGAGTTGTCTTCCAATTGATACTGCTATCAACAACCATTGATTGAAAATAAATGTGTAGGACACAAACCAGAATGTCCAAAAACGTTATTCATGAAAGAGAGGACGAATACTCCATTGGAGAGCGAAAATTGTCCCTATGATTATGAAAACAAGATAAGTGCACCAACAGTATGCACCAACCATAAAAGGTGAGCATAAATTACAAAGGTAAACGTTTAGGTGCACCCTGGGGGTTCTAAATAAAATGGACTGTCCATCTCAAAGTTAAGTGACCAAGATATGAATATATAATAAAAGTAGTTGTATAACTACATTTAACAATATAGTCCAAACACTAAAATATTCAAAAAACATGTTTTGAAAAACAATTTCTCAAAAAATAACATGTGTGTATGTGTGTGAGGCCTCATGTCAAACACTTCAGGTCATCTTATCTTTTTCATATCTTACATGTAGAGTGAAAGTGAGAGCATAGGGATCCGTGTGTGAGAGAGAGAGAGGTTTTGCATCGAACACATGGAGGATGTGTTTGTTTTCTTCTTATACATAGAGAGAGAATATGAGTCTGTGAGTGAGAGAGGGGCCTCTCATCGAACACTTGGAGGTCATTGTCTCTTTTTTCTTCTTCTTATATGCAGAGAGAGAGAGCATATAGGTCCATGTGTGTATTTGTGCATGCGTATCTGTGAGGGAGAAATGCCTCGTATCGAACAATTTGAAACGATCGTCTTTTTTCTACTTCTTATATGTAGCAAGAGAGAGAGAGAGAGAGAGCATTGGTCCATGACTGCAAGAGAAAAGGGCCTCAACCATTTTTATAGCCCTTTAGTATTGTTTCTTTTTTAAGAGGGCTTGCATTTTTTTTTTTCTTTTTTTTAAAGGGGGTGACACTAGGCAACATGGGCCCACTGAGGCCGGTGCCTAAACATGTCTGTCTAGGGCAACCCCCTAGGTTTACAATGGTGGCCAAGGAGCCGAATTTTTTAACATTGGCCTTTTCAATACTGAGTTTTAAAGAATTAAGTGGCTTGAACTTGGCTACCCTACCTATCGTCACTTACTTAGAATACAACTAATCATAGGGGTGGCAACGGGCCGGGTATGGGTCAGGTCCCGCTGGAACCTGACCCAAACCCAAAATATTACTTGAGGACCCATACCAGACGAGTCCAATAAAATAGTACCCGTACCCGTACTCAAGAGAATACTAAAGACCCAGGACCCGAACCCGGGCCCGAACTTGGGCTTTACAGCCTTCTCTTATGTGTTTATGTGTTTGATCATAAACTCTCCCGCCCCTTTATTAGGGCTTACACCCCCGTGACTCTATTTGCCTCTTCGATGTGGGATTTATCCCACACACTAGTGGAGAGGGAGGGGTGGAGTTAGAGAGAGAAACAAGATGTAGAGAATGTGGTAAGCATCTAATAGAAAGAGAGAGTAGTGTGAGAAATAAGAGATTTGAGGGAGACTAGTAAGTACTGAAATTAGAGAGATGTAGAGGAGAGAGAGAGAGAGAAAGAGAAACGGGCTTTTTGAGAGGAACGCCTTTGTACAAACATGATAATTGAATAATGCGTAGTTAGGGTTTTCAAGTTGCAGAAAGATGTGCTTCCTTCTTTGAAGTTCTTTGATTGGGCAGGTAGGCAAGTAGGGTATCGCCATACAAGAGCAACCTACTATGCGATCTTGAAGATGCTTTCTAGGGCTAAGTTGGTGACTGTGATGCTTGATTGGTTAAAGACTTTCACAAAGCAGGGTAGTGTTTACACAGTTAGGTTTTATGACACTCTAGTGATGAGCTATGCAGAAGCTGGAAAGCCTGAGATAGCATTGCAGATATTTGCAAAGACGAGGTTTCAGGGGCTGGATTTAGATGGGTTTGCTTACAATGTTTTGTTGAAGGGATTGGTTGAAGAGAACTGTTTTGATGCAAAGGATATAATAGCAAAACGATTGACATGAGGGGCTTTAGGAATGGGATCACTTATTGTATAAGGATGAAGATTCTTTGTAAGCAGAATCGCTTGGATGAGGCCATGAATCTTCTTCTTGAGCAGTTGAGGAATGGAAATGAAGAGAACGAATATAT